TTTTTTTTTGAAAAACAACCCGTACGGCTGCTAGGGACGCTGATACGAGCAGACGTCCCTAGCAGTGTATTTGTGGAGACGTGCAGTTCAGGAAACGCAACACCATTTCTGCACATCTCCGCAAACGCATCCAGATTCAGGCGTTGAGGTAGCTCAACGCTGCTAGTGGGACTTGGCCCCGGGGCATGAGCTGTGAGCACACGTAGTCGGTGACTAGGTGTTTCTGTGATAAGGGTGGCAGGTGATGGAAGGACCAGGCGGTGGGGCCGTGAAGCCCCGAACCTGGTCCACGTGTGAGACTCGGAACAGGGCCCACCTCGACCCTGTCAAAAGGACAATCAGAGGCAAGGACTGGCGAGGCCATCAAGGGCTTAGCTGGAAGTTGACTCTGGTTTTTTGTGCCCCCCCCCCCCCCCTTCCCCTCCTTCCGCTGTTCACCTCCCTCCACCACCAACCTATGCTTACCCTTCCTCCTCCTCCTCCTCCTCCTCCTCCTCCTCCTCCTCCTCTTCCTCCACTTAACCCCCCTCTTTTCTTTACTCCTACTCCCCCTACCCTCAGCTCTTCCTTCCCCTTTACTGTCGCCATAGCTGACAGATTGATTGATTGACAATCAGTTAAGCTCCTCCTTCCCCTTGATCCTCCCATCCGCCTGCTCCCCCTAAGTTCCCCTCGATTCCCCCATGCGCCTTCCTCCCCTTCCCCTCGATTCCCCCATGCGCCTCTCGCCCTTCCCCTCGATTCCTCCTCCCCGCTCCCCCCGCCCGCCTGTTGTCCCTTCCCCCTCGATTCCCCTATCCGCCTGCGCCTCCTTCCCCCTCTCTTTGCCCCAGTCCGCCTGCTCCAACTTCCCCTCAATCCTCCATCCGTCTGCTCCCCCTTCCCCTCGATTCCCCCGATCTGCGCACTCGATTAATTAATCTGTGTCTGTGAAGAAGAGACCGAGAAGTATGCTATCAATTGCCGCCGAAGCCTGCCGCACTGCAGTTATGTGATGATGTCATCGGAATAACAGCAGCAAACTGGCCACAGCGCGGCTCTCACATGATCGGTAGGTAGGCGTGCTTTCCACTTCCGCTCCGTGCGCTGATACCCTGCGCGATCCGCGGCCTGTGCGCTTGCGTTGCGCGCAGTCTGCGCTCCTTTCCTCCCCCGCAACCAGCACTTTCCCCGTTCTCTCTTCCCCCCGCCTCCTCCCCGCCCCCTCCCGCCCGACCTTCCTACCCCCCAAGCGCGACTCGCGGTCGTCTTCCCCATGTCCAACGGCGGAAGCCCATCCGCTCACCCTCCCTCCCCTACACCGATGGGCCACATGGCACTCTTCTCTTAATCTGCTCCTTCCCACAGTCGGGCCGTACTTTTTTTTTTCTTGTTTTTTTTTTTTTTTTTTACAAGGGCGGGATCATTCTGGGTTTGGGTGTTTTGCACTTTTATGTAGTTAGTTATGCAGTAAGGCTATCGCGCGGTTGGTTTTTATTTTTTCCTCCAGCACTTTCCTTAGATGAATCTGACCGCAATTGCGGCCACTGTTGGATGAACCTGACCGCAATCACGTCCAGAGCTAGTAGGAAAAGGTCTAGCGTGAGTATGCCCTCTCCTCCCCCCGTTCCTCCTCCTTCCCCCTCCTGTTCCCCTCCCACTTCGTCCTCCTACCCCTCCACCTCCTCTTCCTCCTCCTCCTCCTCCTCCTCCGCCCGTCCCAGTCCTCCTGCTTCTCCACCTTCTCCTCTCTCCTCCTCCTCCTCGTCCTCCATGCGTTTTCACACCAATCCCTTGACGTAATTTCGCGGTCAGATACATGCAGTACTGCTCACGATTGCGGTCAGAGACATCCATAAAAATCCTTTTACTATTTATAAATATGCGCCAAGTGTGAACGGGCTGTTTGCTAATTTCGTCCGTTCCACCTCTCCTCTCCTCTCTTCTCTTCTCCTTCTTCCGCCATCAACATCGCTGTCTTCTCTTCTTCCTTCTCCTCCCTCTCTTCTTCCTCCTCCCTTCGCTTCCCTCCTGCTCCTCCTCTTCCTCCTCCTCTTCCTCCTCCCTCTCCTGTTCCCTTCCCACTTCGTCCTCCTACTCCGCCACCCCCTCTTTCTCCTCCTCCTCCTCCTGGTTGTCCACCTCCTCCATCTCCTCTTCCTCCTTCTCCTCCTCCTCCTCCTCCTCCTCTCCTCTCTCCTCTCTCCTCCTCCTCCTCCTCCTCCATCACCTCCTCCTCCTCCCCCTCCTCCTCCTTCTCCTCTTCCCGTCCTACTTCGTCCTTCGGCTCCTTTTCCTTCTCCTCCTCTATTTCGTCGTCCTCCTCCTCCTCCTCCTCTTCCTGCCAGCTGCGAATTGGGTAGTAGTAGACGCCACGACCCAGAAGGCTTCCTATTCCTCCTCCTCCTCCTATTCCTCACCGCATTTTTGCACGCGCGCATGCGCACGCATGTATAGAACGACAGAAAGATGGAAACCGCATTCATTCGCGCACAAATGAAGTCACAAACACACACACACACACACACGCACACACGCACACACACACACACACACACACACACACA